TGAACGTTTCGACAAAATATTGACCATCTTATTTACCAGAGGTAACTAGGTAGTTGGATATGCGGTAATATAACTAGTGAAAGGTAAAAATTGGCACTTTTCGTACTGTAGGGAAGAAAATGTTTAAATGTTACATATATTACAGCAAATAATTTTAAATGTAGTCAATGTTTATTGATTAAACTGGATAAACAGAAATGTAAACTAATTGTAATTTAACAAAATTTTTCAACAAAATCACTCAAATCTTAACCATATAATTTCAAAGTTAAACTTATAATTCTGTGAAATCTTAACTAAACACTGTAAAGTTTTATGAAATTATGAAGGGATAATGTATGTAAGTTTTAATTAAAACTTTTTGAAAAAATTATCCAAGGCGTATAATTATCTTAATCTAACAAACCAATTTTATATTGGGATGTTAATACTCCTCGAGAACCTGATAATGACTTTCAAGTATTTATACATGAAATTTCTTTTCTATATAATCATAGACATAAATATGTATGTGATTTTTACCATAAAATCGACATAATGGTGTATTTAATAAAAGCTAATTACTACCTTTTAGCAGAAGAATTACATAAATTCAAGAATTTTGATTAATTGATATATAACGAAATCTTAAAACTTAGAAATTAAGGAACATTTAAAAATTTTGAAACACTTTTTAAATTTTTTAACAATTACATATAAATGTACCAAAAGCCATAAACCAAACTACTTAGACTACTTATGCTAAGTTTCAAATCAAAGGGATCTATACAATGTATTTGTAGTTAGATCGAGTTCGGGATCGCAACTTCTTTTTGGTTGGTGGCGTGGAAGACTGTTGTGGCAGAGATGGTTTTAAGCTGGAGACTCATCCAGTTGAAATTGTTGGCCCCAACACACAACACTGTTAGATCGAGTTCGACTTCGACTTCGACTTCTTTTTGGTTGGTGGCGTGGAAGACTGTTGTGGCAGAGATGGTTTTAAGCTGGAGACTCATCCAGTTGAAATTGTTAGCCCCACCACACACCACTGTCCCACTATGTATAATATATCGTGTACAAGGGCTTTGCTTAAGTACTCGAGCTATCCAATCTCTTGCCATAGTAGCCCCGTTGAAGAATGACAGGTATCATGAATCATGCTCAATCAAACTTCGACAAATCACTGGTTAGAGCCGGCAGAAGGGGCGGAACCAACATCAGGTGAAAACACCCTATTGATGCTATGAGGAATGCCCTGTCCCCACCTGCAATCTCATCATCGAAAAACTCACCCCAGTGCATTTTATAACCTCTTAAAGTCGCCCAACTACACTACTAAGATGTCACTGTTGTTTCAGCAACAGCACCTAGGTACGTTATTGGTGTTTCGAAAAACACAGATCTATATTAAATTAGTCAGACCTATTTCAGGGGCCATAAAGACCTACTATTATAAGTTAATCATGTTTTAGAATAAACTCCAACACATTCAACCATGAAGGAAAATCGCCGATAAATTAAAGATTAAGGTATCACTCCATCCGTCATTCCGACATCACCACAGATACAACTTAGAATCCGTCTCATCCATTAGATACAAGTATCCGCGTACCAACGTATACACAATCTTTGTATTATCAGCACAAATCCGACATTTTATTAATCCAAAGCCTTGTCCTGCAGTTTGTACTGCCCCTAGTTTCTAGGAGCAGAAATTAAACTTATTCCGAAAAATTCAAATTTCACACCCCTTTCCGCGATTTTGGGTTTAAAACACAGCCACTAAGTGGATCGTGAAGGAAGCTAAACCAACTGACCAGCTAGGATAAAGTCCTGCGGGCAACTAGCCACCCGTAGTACCGGATTAAGTGGTTCTCTGGTTAGACCCCATGTCAAATCATACTAAGGACAAGACGAGAAGTGAAGTGACATCACCACTTTATAGTCCCGATAGACTAGAGGTACCTCTATACCCCCTGATTGCAGTACACAAAGATGGAATCTATCATCAAGGAAATATGTCAAGGGGGACATACCACGGGGGGCGGTTTTTGGAGATGGGTATATATTAGATTGTCATTCCGTTTGTAATTTCCACAATATAATTTTCCGATGCTTTATTAATTAATCCATGTCCGTCTGTCTGTCTGTTGAAATCAATCTTATGAAGACCCCCGACATCTTTGGGATCTAGATCTTCAACAATTTTATCTGACATACCTTCCTAATCAAAATCACGAAAATCGGTCTATAAATTACAGAGATATGAGCAAAAGTTCGAGACAACCTCTGAAAATTGCATCCAAAAATTTGTTTTTGAATGCAGACCATGAAAACAACAACAACTTTCAGACTGTGTTTGTTTGTGAGTATGTTGTTTTTGCTTGTTTATGACAAACAGTAAACCAATGAAAACAACAACAACGTTTAGTATTTGTGTTTGTTGTTTTGAATTTATGTTTTTGCCTTTAGGAAAATTTTAACAAAAATTTTAAAAAATTCTTAAATTTAACACCATGGTGAAGAGTATAGATGATTCGGCACAGCCGGATATAGCCCTCTTACTTGTTTTACATATAAAAAACTAATGAATTTAATAAAATACTTTCTAATAATGTTACTTTAGATAAAGATTAGCATGTTTATAGGTAATTAATTAAAAGTCAAGTAAGACCCAAGATGGTGACATGTTACGACGTGTATTGTAATTTAAAAGAAAAAGCACAATGTCACTAAAAGTAATACCATAAGGCAATACCCCGAAATAATTCATATGGTTGAATACCTTTTTAAATATTTTGTAAATACATTGTTTGCATTTTAAATATTTATATATTTTACAAAAAATAGCTTAAAGGAAAAAGGAAATATGTTAATAACCTGGTAACCAAAAGCAAAATGTGAATGTGCTGGTGATTAACAGCAAATAAACCAGCTTAATTTAATTATGAGGAATATTAAAAGCTTATGACAAAATATGTATATAATAAAACAAATAATAACAAACATAAATAAATGAACATTAAATGACACATACACACGCACACACATAAATGCTATAAAATTAAGAATTAAAAGGGAGAAATTCTTAATAAGCCTGTGTTAATAATTTGCTAAATAAAGCATGTAAATAAATTAATGATGCATAATTTATAAAGTTTTTTTATGAAGGCTTTCGTTTTTTTCATTACCTTCCACGAAACACTGGGCGTATGAGTAATATGTCAAATTGATGAATTTGCACAACGTGTAGCTCTAACTAAGCGTATGAGCAATATTTGATTTTGTTCTTTTTTGCAGTAGTTTTCACCAACATGCGTATCTTGTAATTAAAGTAAATGTAATAAAAAGATTTTTTTTTTACCAAAAACAAAGTTTGAGTAAAATTTTCAAAGAAATGTAACATTTGTTCTTGTCTGTCACTCTGCTTTAATTCTATTTTAAGAGGTCACGTTTTATGGCTGCTTGACCAATACGTAATTTCCACAAAAACGAAGACAAAATAATATAAAATTCCAACCAATAAATACTTTCAGCTGTTGGAGAAATTCTTTAATTGCAAATATTTGTGTGTGCTGCTCATGTATGCGCTATTATTTTCACATTTAATACATCTTCAAATAGTTTGCTTTTGTTGCTGAGTTTTTAAGCATGATTAAATACAGGTTGTCAATTTCTCACCCTCTCCCTTTATAATGAAAAGAAATTTAAGTTAAACTTTGATGAAATCTGTAACGTCTTTAAGATGAGCAGTTGAGACATAAAAGTTAAGGTTATTGATTTAATAAATTTAATAAATCATTTAGTTACAGTTTTTATTATAAAAAAATATAAAATTTTTATAAATATAGTACAAAGCTAAAGTTCAAAAAAATAAACTTGAATATGAACAAAAATCATATTATATAATTGGACTTCTTGGTCAAAAGTAATTTATGTCTTTATGGAAAATCATATGATCAATACCCTGTAACTATACTTTCTTTAATGCTTTAAAAATCTACACAATCATATCCCATTTATCCCTAATCACTCTTGACACTTATGTATGCTAAAAGCTGTAATAAGTATTCATTTAATTGAAACAGCTTGATATCAATGCTCTCACACCTTTAAACAAATTTTCCCTAAACATTATTTGCTATAAGTTTTGGAGTAAAATTGAAAACCTATTAACCTTAATAGTGAACAGTTATGTAGTTGACACGTTTATACGAAAGAAGAAAAACAAAAACACTGCATACTTACGCTTGCATGTGGTCCACCAAAACTATTGTGTCCGAAAACATACATATAATTATGTCGATTCACATCAGCATGAAATAAACCTGTCTGCATTAGTGGTCCAACGACACGTGCATCTGATAAAATATCTAAAACAACATCACGATGTTCCATGTTTGTAGCCTTAATGGGATTGTTGTACATTTCACTATATCTAGAAAATGAGAAAAAAAGAAGAAGAAAATAATAAATATAAAAGAGTTTGAAAAACAAAATCACAACAATAAATATGTAGATATAACGTGTCATAGAAAACTGTATCTGTAAAATAATTTATTATAGAAAAATTCTAATAATGTGTGAGAATAAATCGGAAATGCAAAAATATCTCACACAAAAACCATAAAATAGGAAAAAAAAAATAGAAAATATTTTAATAACAGCTTTAAATCCATTAGAGTATTTTGCAGATATACAAATTTACAAAATATATATACGTAGTATATAATTCCAGCAGTTTTGATGGTGGCTATGTATTGGAATGTTAGAAAGAAATTTGCGGTAAGATTTAATAAGTTGAGCAACTTTGAGTTCTTATTTTCTAATATAAGATATTCCGGTTTGTTTTGTAGTGTTCTAGTCTCACAGTTCACAGATCATGGTGCGAACCACTAGATGAATTTCTTCGGATCTTCTACTAACTTACTACGACAGCCAGAAGGCAATTAGGGCGATATCAGGCGATAGAACTAAATCTAAGACCGTATTGGACTGTAAGAAAGCTTTAGCTGAATACTCTCTTGGAATAATAACCATGAAGATCCTATGGGGTGACCCTGATGAGAGCAAGACGAAAAATCTCCTCAAAATGAGCAAGTCTGAAGTTAGTATGATGGTACGTATTCTGAGTGGACACACAGGACTACGAGCACATCTATGCAAAATTGGACGTGCGGATTCAGACGAATGAAGAGCATGTGGAGAGAACAGTGAAACTCTGGAGCACTTTCTTTGCCACTGCCAGGCATTCGTCGAAGTTAGATCCAAGTATCTTGGAAGTGATGTTATTCAGGAAATAACATTCCTGACTAACACTGATTGGAAGATTCTTAGGAATTACGTTCAGGAAACTGAGTTTCTGAACACTGAAAAATATTTTTTTTTCATGATAAGGAGCGCACAACAGGCCCGATAGTGGCCTAGGTGTATTTCTTCGGATTTGATGTAGTATACATTCTCCTATCGACCTACCTACTAACCTACTAACTTACTAACTTACTAACTTTCTAACTTACTAACTTACTAACTTACTAACTTACTAGCTTACTAGTTTACTAACTTACTAACTTACTAACTTACTAACTTGCTAACTTACTAACTTACTAACTTACTAACTTAATAACTTACTAACTTACTAACTTACTTACTTACTAACTTACTAACTTACTAACTTACTAACTTACTAACTTACTAACTTACTAACTTACTAACTTACTAACTTACTAACCTACTAACCTACTAACTTACTAACTTACTAACTTACTAACTTACTAACTTGCTAACTTGCTAACTTACTAACTTACTAACTTACTAACTTACTAACTTACTAACTTACTAACTTAATAACTTACTAACTTACTAACTTACTAACTTAGTAACTCATTAACTTACTAACTTAATAACTTACTAACTTAGTAACTCATTAACTTACTAACTTAATAACTTATTAACTTACCTGCTAATAAATTCTCAATTTTAAGAACTTTTTCTGGAACCGTTTTCGATTTATAGCGCCAAACATCTTTAATCAATAACATTTTTTTGAGAATTTTTGCCCACCAAAATTTTTTTGTTCGGATTTCACCTTGTTTTCAACAGACTGATGGCGCGGACATAAATAGGTCTTATGATCTAATAACCCAGAAAAAATTTCATATTTTGATAATAATTAATGTATATTTTGATAATAATTACTTGGAAATGAGTGGTCCTTATCAATACCCTTATTTCATTTTGTTGAAAAAGATTTGTTGCCAATAATTGGCCACCTGTCTATCAAATAAGAAGTTCGAGGTTCGAACCCTAACTTAATAGTTGCTCACCTATAAAGCAAGAACTTTGGCATTGCTGGCATATATAATACAGAAAATTTTTTCTTGAAACGATTTAGAATAAAAAAAATAAATCCTATTTTGATAACAGTTACCAGAACTATCAGGGATCTAAATATAAAACCAACAATTTGTTAACACATCTTGTTTGCATATGTATATGTGTTTGCTATGTGTAAGTAATTGAATTTTAAATATTAAATTTTAAACACTTTAGATTTACCATATAGATAAATGTATTAATATTCTGGTGTTGGTTTTTTCTTCACTTTATTATGTGCATATAAATGTATTTATCTGTATCTATGGCTATATTATACACACAAATACATATGTATGTATATCTATGAATGTTTGCATTTGTGTTTTTTTTTTTATAACCAAAGTGTTTTTAGATGTTTTTCTTAAGACACTTCATATAATAAATTATTTTAACTACAGACTAATATTGTAATTGAATACACATAAGTACTTATATATTTTTTTTAATGTGAAACCAAAGATATAAGAAAATTAAATATATCTGCACATAGGCTTTTCTTTATTGCGACAAGAAATTGAAAAGTATAAAAAAGGAGGTTTTTTTATTTGGGATATAAATAAATACATACGTATATATGTATGTACATTTTGAAATATTACGTTAATCATATAAGAAGTTTGAGTCAAACGGAATAATGTAAATCCCCATAATAGCTGTGTACAGTTGAATTTAAAACAAGTCATAAGAAAGAACCTCACAGTGGGGAGCAATAAGGACTATTGTTAATTTATCTATTATATTTGTTTCTATTAATTTATAGTTTATTTTATAATAAAGCTTCCAGTTCTGATAGTTAGTGCGTAATCCATTTCCCATAAACATTAGAGCACCTTCTAAAAACACATATTCACTAAAAATTAAATTTTTGATATTTTCCACAAAATAGTAACTTTCCTTTGTATTACTTATCTCGTCTATAAATTACACCAACTACAAAGACCACTAAATAGTCCTATACTAGTCTATCTGGGTACTCATAGTTAGACAAGAATGTTACTTTTAATTTGCTGTTTTCTTTCATTGCATTTGAGTAACTTGATATGATGACAACAAAAAACTTGCTGTTAGTAGAACTAAACGTATGTCAGTCAAAATTAACTCTGATATACGAAACTCTTTGGATAGACACAATTCCTTTAATGTTTCAATAGCAAATGTGCTCATGTAGAGATTTTCATTGCTAAGGACAACACTAAAAGTGTTGTCCTTAGATATCTAGAGTTAAATATCTAAAGGGAATTTAAAATTTATACCAATATTAAAAGTACTTAAATATTGTTTTAATTTTATACCCACATCTTTTTTCTCTCTTCTATAGAGGTCAAATATTTATTGTAATTTTAATAATAAGAATTATCTTCAAAACCACAATGTTCTTTTGAAGATAATTATCTTCTTTGAATACGGAGAAAAAATCAATTACACCTAAGGCCACCCCTTAACAGTTGCACAAAAAAAACTAATCATGCATTTCTTGTTTACTATACAATCAAGATCTTATAAAGCAAACAAGTAAAGAAAGAACATCAAAGGAAAAAAATATATACAGATATGAAATATAAACAAAAAACTAGCAAGAAAATATGGATAGTTATATACGATTATATGATATCCTACACTAGGTTAGGTTAGGTTAGGTTGATAGGAGGATGTATCTACATCAAATCCAAAGAAATACATCTAGGCCACTATCGGGCCTGTTGTGCGCTCCATTTTATGGAAAAATGTTTGTTGGTAAAAACGAAAACCTTATATGGTATTCACTAAATGTATTATCGTCCGATGTTCAGAAACTCAGTTTCCTGGACGTAATTTTCTAAGAAAGTGCTACAGAGTTTTACTGTCCTCTCTGCATGCTCTACGTTCGTCTGAATCTGCACGTCCAATTTTGTATAGGTGTACCCGTAATCCTGTGTATCCACTCAGAATACGTACCATCATACTAACCTCAGACTGGTTCATTTTGAGGAGGCTTCTCGTCCCGCTCTCGTTAGGGGACGTTATTCCAAGAGCCTTTATGGGTCACCTATATTTTATCACCCATAATTTTAATTCTGCCCTCGTGGCGTCAAATGGTTTTGCGTTCGTCACATTAACTAGCTCGAGCTCCCTTCCCTTTAAAGCTATTACATTCGCTCTTTCATTGCCGACTACTTCCGAGTGGCCTGGTACCCATATGATGTAAACCTAACTTCTGGGAGAGTATTCTGTACAATCCTATACGGTTTCAGATACAACATTATCATCTGATATCGCCCTAATTGCCTTCTGGCACTAGGTAAATATGTTAAGCCCTGTGGGCGCCATATTTATTCCAATCCAATTTACGCATTCCGTTATTCTCGGATATATCGGACTTCTGCCAGGAAGCTTGTGTTGTGATTTGGTAAACGGTGGTATATTTCTGTTTCTGGGTCTTCAATATAAAAACCCAGGCCCACTTTGTCTCCCAATTTAGAGCCATCCGTGTAGCAATGGATTCCTACTGGTATTTGCTTGTATCCTACACTAACTATTAACAATTTACCGTGATTTTGAAAGGTAGGACTATATAAGGGCCAGGCAAAATTGTTATTGAATTATTGACATATTTATGATGAATTATATTTCTTATTTATTTCTTCAGCAAATTTTTAAAATTCTTCTAGCAAACTTTATGACATATAGTGAGGAGGGAATTAGGAATTTATACTGATGTTTGTAATAGATATATAAGAGTTATACACAACTTAAAGTATAACAGTCGTCTGTACTTGTATCCCAATCTACTGGTGGGTATTTTGAAGATAATTCCGTGAAATTTGTCAAAACGACTTTACTCATTTCAGTTTTATATAACCAGAATAATTTCTATTTACATAAAACTAACAATTGCCAATTTTTTTTCTGTCTAGTTATCTTCTTTTGGACACTAACATGCTTTGAAGATGGCTAGATCATCTTAGAATTTAACAAAGACCTAGAATATTTACATTTTTAAGGGTTTACGACTATTAGTTCCATGTGTTATAAATGTAAGGATAAAATCAATATACATACATACCGCATATTTTTGGATTG